CACTGTTTCCTTACTTCTATTATGCACAGCCACTAAAAATAATCTCCCACACCCTCTTGCAACCACGTCTTTCATTGCAACATAGGCCATTTCAAAACACGCACGACACGAACCAAACAGCAATTAAACCACTCCAGCAAAAGAGTTTTCAATGTCAAAAGGGTTGCCATACAAACACGCAATCGCGCAAAAACCAGCGCAGAACACATAATGCCACATTTGGTGATCTTAGGGCGCATATAAGAGTAGAGCCAGATTTATTTATGCTAATAAATAACAGCACTTTGTTTTAATTTATTTATTTTAAAAACTGTTTTTCAGCAAATCCTAAAAAGTCATTACTCTACAGTATTAAAATAATTTTACAAAATATCCTAAAACATTATATAGAAAATTTCGTGAATATTTCTTAAAATAATACCTATTTAGCTATCAATTTTAACTGAAAATGAACAAACGACCTTTTATATAGGTTTTTCCGTAAGTCTCTGGAAATTTAATTATTATGCATTATTAAAAATAAAAAATTTTAAACGTTGAAAGAAACGTCCATATTCAAATCTGAAGCAAAGAAGTTACGGAAGGATCAAACGCCTTCCGTGACATCACTCTGTAGCTAACCAAGCCATGTTCTCCAGCTGGCCGTGGCTCTACCCGTTTATAAGTGTTGTCCACTACTAAGGCCAGATCCGGTCGTCTATTTATCATGGAGGCAACTAAAAGGACTTCATAGGAGGCAACAGTGTTGCCTCCTATGAAGGGGGTGAACGAATTACACACTTGCCATCTCCGGAATTCGAACCCAAGCCCTTCGGTACGGCACTCATTGTCAATAACCACTTTCCCATCTGGACGGCTGCAGAACAGTTATAACAAGCTAATATGCAATCATCCTTGACTGGATACGAGACATGAGCCATGAGGAAGAAGTGCCTTATGGGCCTTATATAGTCATACGTATGCCGTACATATTGAAACAAGAGGAAGTACCTTCAAACCAGTACAACCTTCATGGTCTTTCTGGGAAGCCAACATTTCTGATGGCCAAGGAATAAGTACTGAATTTTTTGGAACCAAAAAAAATCTTCAGCTTAATAACTCGAAATCAGAGCTATGATAATGATACCAATAATGCAAGCATCCAAGAGATGATTTTGGATTTAAAAAGCAGAATATTGTACGTTTCGTGTAGGTGTCCCTCCTTAAATTTAGAATTCAATAATGCTTCTAATTTATTTGTCGACACATTATCTCTATTTGGAATCTACCAACGTATTAATAGTCTTTACTTTGGATCAGTTATATAGGTGAGGAACTTTCTTATTCTAGGGTTGAAAGTCTGACTGCTAAATCGCTTCCTGTCACAAGATGGAAAAATTGGGTCTGTGAAAGTATTTAGATTCCAAATAAAAGATTTCCACGAGGCTATAACTGATCTTTTAGAATATAAGTTTTAAGGTAACATTGCCCGAAATGAAGCTTTTAACTTAGCAAATCAAATATCAGATTACATGTTCCTGACCTTCACTAATCATTTGGTATTTGCTTGACCCAATCAATCCATATAAGTAAACCTCTTCAATTACCCATATATGATATCTTAGAGACAATTCGACATTTAAAAGATGCGGAAAATTATTTGACAAATTGTAGGAATAGTGGACTTAAAGTGCTATTCCTACAATTCGACAAGTAATTTTTGCTCTGTGTAATTGGCAGAAACGTTAGCGTTGAACCTCTATTCAAAACGATTAGAATTCGGTAAAAAAACAAATATTCGATCATGAACATTACGACGAAGCTCCTGTAGATCCAGGAAAACAATTTTTTAAAAAAGTTCTTTAATCTACCTGTAGATCAAGCATTTTCTTCACTATAGTAGTAGTTTGAACAGTTCAGTATGGAGAACGTATACTGGTCGTTCCTTTATCATCTTAGAGAGTTAAGAGTTCATTTGCAGAAAAATGCAAAATCTATAATAAGTAATCTGTGCTGAGGGTAAAAAAAGGAGCCATCAATCTGACATTAATGGCTAAAAAACAGATGATTGCAAGGTTGCGTAGTTTACAGAATCTCATTTTCGAAGGGATAAAAACACCTAAAGAATATGTTTCTTGTATTCATATATACTCATTATAAGATATTTATCCTAATGTTGATGTCCTTGTGGAAATATTTGTCAATACCAATATCAATAGCTGTTGCCGAGAGGAGTTTTTCAAAGCTGAAATTGATAAATTGAGGTTGTGTGTAAGTGAAGAAAAGACTGAAGTCACCTAACAAAATGTCCGTGAAGTTCATTCATAATAGGCTTTGCATCGACGGGGTGGCCGTTCAAATGGATTTTTAGTGTGTCGACTGTTGAACCTCGCTATTGGATTCATTGTCATTGCCTGATCTTTTATGAGGTCCTCCGGGCTGTCCTTGCTTAAACGTAATAAACAATATTTCAAGCTCGTGATCCTCGTTGAAGAAGTTGGCAGTTTCATTTCTCTTGGCGAACTCGGAAGAACAAAGAATGCACGCATGGGCTGTACTTTTCAAAGGACTAATCGCGTGTTTCTAGAGATTGCCCTTTTAAATGAGTGCGTAAAAAACTAAGGCAGTTCATTGCTAGTAGAATGAGCTAGACGGAGAAGTATTTTGAAAAGTGTTTCATTAATTGCGCTTTTACAGATTTGTCTTAGGAATGCCACTCAAGGAAGGGAAAAAAACTTTTATTATGGATGCGAGGGCCTATATGAAGATTCATTTTAATGCACCAAATATGGAAGAGATATGTCGAATCCAATTAAAGCACTGTGTGAAACAGATCGAGATCATAAAAAAGAATAAATAATCTGCGGTGAGCATGGCTATGCCAATCAACTTCTGCTAGCAAATACACATTTAATGCAGCTCTTATGCTAATATGCAAAAAGGAACACATACTTGATTACAAGTTAATAAAGGTATAATGATAATATATGTGAACATGCAGCTTCTACTAATACATGCATATATCTGATACGAAATTCATTACTATTTTAAGTAGCACAGAAGAACTAAAAATTATAATAATTATATAAAAATGAACTTAGATGTTACACAAATACACTAATTTATTAAATGTATAGGAAAGTATATACGTACATTCATCTGTCCGATATAAGATCATAAATAGTTACAAAACGAACATGTGTGTGTGCACAGATACAAGTTAAATTTATAATGGACTGCAATCATTAAAAAAATTATCTTTTTCATCAATTAAATAAACGCATGCTTTGATTGGAAATATTAATATGTTTGTTATACAAATTATCAACTATACTGTTCTCCTAGGCGCCCTGGAGCCAGCTCTGTATACTACAGCTCAAAATCTTCCTTTTTACTTCTATGATTGTGTTTCACACGTAAGCACAAGTTGATAAATCAGCGTGATCAGCTTTTTTGAAGTTTTCAGATTCAGAAATAATACTGGACGAAATGGAAAAGGTTTGAAAGACAGTGATAACGAGACGCATCGCAGTAGCCAAATATGATTTTATTATTTATTTATTTTTTTCCCTGGATCGAGTTTGATGCATTCGCCGGTAGGTAGCGAAAGTTTAATACACTTCATACGAATTTTGAATAGTTTTAAATTTATTTCTTTCACTGTTCCTCATAACACAACATTTCGCGTTAATTCACCGTATTTCTTAAGAAATACCCATTTATTTACTTAATTTCAGCATATTTTTGATTTACACATCTGAGAGAAAATAAGGAACTTTTTTGAAAAATATCCTTCATCTCTTTTACTCAATGATTATTTCTTTAGTATCTTTAGAGTAATCAGTTAAAAATAGAATTACTTTGTCTCGCATCGTTTGCCACTGGTCTTGCTTTTAATTTTTGTTACATGTTACACGACTGTCTAAGGAAAGTCATGTCGTATTTTAGCTAGAGAATTTTAGCTGTATTTTACCAGTAAACAGAGCTCTTGACCACACTTTCAATGAAATCTGATAGAACTGAACTTTTCGTTATTATCCTGATAAGTTTTAGCTACAATCTAAACAAAACAAAACATCCATAATTTGTTATTAAGATAATATATTCATGAACTCTGCTGTATTTTTGGTTAATTTTTAAACCGCTTGCTTATCTCTGTAATTTAATTCCTAATCAAATGCCAAAATTATGAGCTTCTACAGTGGCTTTCGTATGTTACATATACCCAGCTCTAAAAAATTTTCTTGCTTAGCAGTACTGTAACCAAAAATATGCGAATATTTTTTTAATTCTTTATGTTCGTTAGTCTATTTCTAAAAATGTACAACAGCATTCGCATATAATCCTTTAGTGTTTTTCTACCTCGTTATAGCAAAATCACTCGTTATAGCAATTTCACTTTGTGATGAACAATATGTAATGTAATATAATATACGAGTGTACTAGCTTATCACGAATTAAATTAGTAATGGAACTATATATCACATTTATTCTGCTGTTAAATTATTTGAAGAACATTTTTTAATCTGTTTGCAATTATTTTGGTTAATCAAATTAATTAGCTGTTGTTTGTTTTTTTAATTATTCAACTGAAAAACTAGCTCTTTTATTAATATGACCGAAAAATGTTTGAGTGTTTTTGTTATTATTTTCACTCTCAGTTTCTTTCACGTAATCATTTTATGCGTAAGTTTGATAGTGCATTTGTGCGATTTTAATTTTGATAAAGTAATTACTGTGTAACACAAAATGAAATAATATATTATAATCAGGAATATATAAATATTTTTTAAACTCTTTATGCAATTCCGCTGCTTGATAATTTTGCATTGCTTTCTATATATTCATGAGTATATTTGATTTTAAAACCTTATCAGTCGCCAAATTCCGAATCTCGCGATTTGCGATGTTATGCTTTGGCGAAAACTAATTGTCAAATACAGTAACCCTACTCTCTGGATGCGGGAGAATAGGAGGCGAATTTTCCCCTCTCCAACAGTGGAAGTTTGATGCCTGTGGATTTCAGCTGTTGATAGCGTTCCTCACTTGGGACGGCCTGATTCCGGTTTCCATGTTTTTGCCATCACTGGATGACACGTGTTTGAGATAGTTGACGGAGCTCCGGCACACTGCATTCAGTTTCAGAAACGCTGTATTAAAAGGAGTGTTTTATTAAGTTTATGCTGATTATTCGACTATTTTAGTTAGTAGTTCAGTTTTCGATAAATGATTTAAGGATTTATCGAACTGTTAATTCAACTCTTTGGCAATTTTTGCCTTCCTTTTTATGAATCAGCGGCGAATTAATTGAAATTCTGCTTTTTCTTTAATAATCATTATGTCTGTGAAGGATTTTTGCCAATGATCAAAATTAATTCCTGTCAATTATAATTATAGTAGTTTCATCATCACTAAACATATTTATGGTTTATTAGACTCAGTGACATTTGCCTTAAAAATAAATTAAGGCTGTTTTTCTGATATCGTTAAAACCTTTAAAACAAAGAAGCGGAAACAGCATTTTTTGTTCTCATGCGTATTATTTAATAAATTTATCATTTGAATAATATTCAACATGAGCAAAGATATAGTCAAATTAATTTCATAGAACACAGGTGGAAGTCATGAAGAGTTCGACGTTTGTTATCTTTCAGATTACTTGACTTTTTAAATCCTTGGTCTAAGATCATGAACTGTGACAAGAATGACATCTTCCTGCTCGTACATAGTTGTGGTCTTCGCACTTTATTTGATATTCTGTGCTCGCGATTCCCTCTCGTCTGGTACTTTCGAACTACAGATTCTTGGCATACAGAATTATCGAGGAGAACTCGCGGATGGTTCTTGTTGTGGCGGTTATCGTTTGAGAGATGGTTCTTGCCCTGTTCAGTGCAACACAGCTTTTCAGTTATGTTTGAAGGAATATCAGTCTCAAGTCGAGACAAGTGGCAAGTGCACCTTCGGCAATCAGTCAACGGACATTGTCGCTGGCAACTCCTTTTCAGTGCAATCCGAACCTAACAAAGAAATTGTTCTGCGGTTGCCTTTCACTTTTCGATGGACTGTAAGTAAAATATTTAAATTTTTAGTTACATACATATTTTTACGTAAACGTTTTAAATATAATCTAATTAAACGCATTTACATTTTTGAAATGTGTAGCATTGGCCTGGTTAACTGACACAAAATACTAATTATTTCATCTGTTGTTTTATTTATAAAAACTTGCATCTGACCAATTGCCTGGAGGTAGCAGGTGAAGATAAAACGAGCATGCTTAGAAAATTCAGTGTCAGTAAATTTTCCCTTTATAAATTTGTTTATTTTTGAGAATCAGGTATAAGTCCTTAATTAAAAAAATGGTTTAATCTCTCAGGATATTAATTTATCTAGTTACTTAATTACTGATAATAAATGTGTCAAAAAATATTGTGCATGCAAGTCGTAAAAATCTCCATTGTATTTAACGTAATTAATTGAAACAAAAGTTTGCATTGTGTGTTGAAGTAATCCTAAATTAAAAAAGAACCTGCAGAAACTATTTAATGTTGAACATAAATGAGTAGATATAATCAGAAGCTCACGAACAGAACACTCCAAAGAAAATTTTTTAAGTTCTTAAGTAAGCGAATTTCGCTTACTTTCGTTGGATACCGGTAGGTATTATTCTGATATTTTTATCGGTACAGATAATTAAAAAGTAATTTTTTTTTATGGTTCATAGATATTATGGGTAAAGAAGCGTTAAATTTGCCGAATTTTTTTCTTTTCTACATTTTTATTCATTGAAAAGAAAAGGAGCCGCAAGTTTATAAAGCTTGAAATGTTAAAGATTTTAAATTTCTGATTGACAAAAAAAAAAAAAAAAAAAAAACTCGTTACAGATTTTTTTCTCTCTTTATATATCGACCATCATTATTTCGACAGAAACGTTTCGCTTAAGTGCTTATTGAAAGCATGTTTCCATACATTCAGTGTGATGTTATTAAACATTGTTATTTTTATCTCTATTTTTAAATTAAAATTTGTAAGGGAAATTCATGTGAAAAAAACAAGCGTAAGTACTCTTGTAGAAGTCCACATTTATTCAAAAAAGCACATTTAACATAGTTTCCTGTAAATATAAAATACGAAATTTAAGCCACTTTTTGCAAAACATTAATTAGAAATTAAAATTTTAACACTAACGCGGTTTCTATGTGACACTTGCAATTTTGAATAATTTAAACTATTTGAGGAGGAGGGGGAGAGGTTTTTTTTTTTTTTTTTTTTTCTACATAACTGTTTCTTTCTCACCCCCTTTTTTCTCACTTTTTCTTTAAATAAAGTTGTGTACAGTAATTATAAATTGTAAAATTTCCACCCAGATTGTAAATTTTTTAATTGAAAATTTTATTCATAATTTTAAATGCTTTTCACTTATTTCATTATAAAATGTTTTATCTTAAAAATTTATATTTATAAGTTATGAAAGAAACATCACTTTTACGTGTTAGCGCACAAAATCAATTTGAAAATGTACTACTTCGAAGTTAATGTAATTGAGTAGAAACATAAAGAAAGTTTTAAAACTTGCAGAAAGTAAATGAAAGGAATCTCATGTTAGAAAATAACTAAATGATAGTTTATGAGCGCGAATAAAGGGACCGGAACCTTAGTAGGAATTCTGTTGGCCACACAATGCGGGTAGCTGAAGCTGCTGATGAATTTTCATCATCGCTGAGATCGCGCAAGCTGAGAAGGTAATGGAGTAACAAAAGAATACGTCTAATTCAAATAAGGAAAAAGACAATCGTAATATAAACTGTGGCAATGCTCTCGTGCATAGATATATAATAAGTTTTATAGTCATGCATATATTGTGTAAAGTTCAATCTCCCCATTTTCAATTTTACTTTTTATGAAACGAATAAAAGAAGTGAGAAAAAAGTTGTAATTGTTGTTTGTAAACAAAGTAAAACAAATGGAGAAATTTTAAATTCTCAGGTTTGATATTATATAAAATAGATGTGTAAAACTAAGACCGTTAAGATCAAAGCCATAATCTCATTTCGTAACACATATATTTAAGCTCGTTAACCATGCGTCATTTCATTTTTTTAGTTAAAGAAAAGATGCTGTCGATTTTTTTTTTTTTTTTCGGAAAAAAAAATTTAAACTGGGTAACATAAATTAAATTAAATTTAAAAAAAAAAAGCCTTCAAAAGAATTGCGGGTTAAATAAAAGTACAAATTTACTCGAATTTATTGAAAAGAATCAAAGGAGGAGAGCATTAAATTAATTAAAAGTTATATATTGAATGGACTCTGTTTTGTAGGGTTTTTTTCAGTCTTAGATACCGACAAAAATTAATCAACATTTCAGTAATAAACGAGGTTCGCAATATGTAGGCGCGAAATTTTTGGACTTAGATGCTAAAGTTATTCTCTAAATTGCCTTTGTTAGCATTTTCTAGTGTAACCAAATGTGCACCTTAATGAACTAGCCTGACTTTGTTGAGACCTGACTTGTGGGTCCCATAAAAGGAGAGGAGCTGACAGCTGATGAAAGATCGGGATTTATCTTGTGTATAAAACGTTTACAGGAGTGTTGTCGGAAATGCAGGAGCTTCGAACACGTGAAAGAACACATTGTAGAGCACAGCACATGCATACAATGTTGCTAGTTATACAAAAGTCTTTAAATACAAGATTGCTGGATAAATGCGAAAAAACTTAACACATTTATAAGAATTTGTGCTTATTAAAAAACAGAAACTTTGATAGAAAAATTGCATTAAGAATATTAATTGAGAGTTAAAGGTAAGGTGAGTCGCACGAGATCTCACGTATAAAACTCGTCTTTCTACAATTATGTAGTCCAAATCAACGGGAAATTTTAGCTGAGAGACACCATTAGTTACATAGCTGTTTAGGTTAAATGTTGAGGAAGGGAAGTCTGAAATATTTTTAGATGCATGGCTTTGAGTTCTCTGTCATCACTTGTACCTGTTAATAAATAAATAAAATAAAAGTGTGTTTAAAAAAGAGTTTATTAGCAAATTCAAAAGCAACGTTTGAAAAGAAATCTCTGAGTTTAAGAACCTTATAAAAGGCAAATAATTTTTTTATACTTCTTGTTTAAATGCTAGGAACCTGACGCACCAATGAATGAATAGTGAGAATCTTTCACATCTGTGAGTTGTAGATATGATGTAATGAAATATGAACGTTAAGTTCATTGGAAATCTTTATTAAAGTACAATAAGTATTTTATATTAGCCCCATATATATCTTTAATAAAATGTTCTTTAGAGCAATGCTATTAAGTATGCGAGTTTGAGAAAAGAAGTGAAACAAAGATTTCTTACTTATGACTATGTAAAATTTCAGTGTTTTGTCAAGAATTCCATCAAAATTCTTATTTAATAGTATCAAGATCTGAAATGTTTTTCAGCTATGTACTTAAATAAAAAGCACAGATATAAAGTGTTTTAATAGATATTCAGTACGCTTTGTCAGTAGTAATGGATTTTAAAGTTTCAGTGCTTAAATTAATCACATATCGGAAATGCTATTTCCTGTTACTAGTGGCTAGTGAACTCACATTATTAAATTTTGGATTACCTTCAGTGAGTGAGACTTAAATTCAATACCAGTACGATAGGAGCAGAAATACGCAGTATTCCTTTTAATTTAAAAAAAGAGAGAGAGAGAAAGAAATTAAAAACAGAACTTAAAATATAGATTTCTTAGCAAGATGCGATAATCTGCTATTGGAAAATATTTCGATTGTTTATTGAAAGGCTTTATTTTTACTATAGAGCTTTCACCAACAACACGAAATTTTCTAAAACTTTAAAAAATATAATGACTTGAACTATTTTTTCTAATTTAAAATCGTGAAACAATAATCGCTAACGATGATGAGTCGGTGATTACATTAAAACAAAATTAAATAAAACTTGTGATTGTTATATATGTAAAACCTGGAAGACAAAAGGGGGGGCAGCGAGTCGGGAACGGAAAAGAGAGAGGGATGCCTTCTTACCTCATTGCATTCCTAACCTAGTAGTGTAAAGAAACCAGCAGAGCTTCGGCTATCACTAGGAAGACCTGTCGATGAATGAAAGTTTGGAGTAATTTGCACAAAAAGGTTTTAGTGGGAAGACAAACAGTTATCTGTTGAACGGAAAAGGAAATTTTGGACGAGGTTGCAGTGCCACATTAGATTAGTCATCTGAGAGAAGTCATGGTTTTTATTGTGCTGTCATTCCTAGATACTGTTCGTAACTGTGTATTGTACAGTTCCTTCATCTTTTCATTGAAGTTCTCTTGAGAATTAGATTAAAAAGATAAAAATCCTTTATTTGCATCAGAAAATTAAAGAAAGCCTCGCGCAAGTGTGCACTGTAGCTTACAGTGCACTTAATTATTACCTTATGTTGATATGATCTTATTTAGTGCATGATTTGTCATGTTACATCAATATCACGCGTAGCTGCAGCTGAGTTCGTATCCACGAGAATGAGCTGGCCGTATGGAAATTCTCATGGTTTTCGCTATGTGTTTTAGAGTCTGGTTCTGTTAGAAAGATCTCCACGAAAGCATCTCTCTTAGGCAGATATTCTTGTGAGCTTAGCCGTAATCAAAATTAATTAATCACGTGACCGTAGCAGCTTTTTAGAAGATATTTATAAACTCGCAGATACGATAACACGGCTGTATTTGCAAATCTTTACATTTATGAAAAGACTAATAAACAATTAGAAGAGGAAATGATCAAAATTTTTCTGTCTCACTATCCCAATAGTCCCCTCCTTAACATAAAAAGAAATCAGATTTATCTTAGAAAATCCTCATTACATTAATCCAAGTAGCGGTGTAAATAATGTAAGCGGTATTGGTAATAATGACACTTTTTGATAAAAATGACAAATGTATGAGGTTATAATAACATTTTTATAAAAGTATATTTTTACAATCTTGAGACGCTTATCATTTAAAAAACTCAAAATATTGTACTGAATGCGATCAACTTCATTGTTATTTACTACTTTGTAGTAAGAATAGTTACGATTTCTG